GGAGGGATATGCAAGATGTCACTGTCTTCACATTGCTTCATATGCATGAATGCATGGGATTAAAGACTTCCAAGCACTGATTTTCACGCTAATGCATGAGACAAGAGTGTTTAGCAAACAACCACGATACTTCCTGCATGCCTGAATAAGGCATCTAATTGAATCAAGCTGGGATTGAATAAGGCATCTAATTGAATCAAGCTGGGATTGAATAGCCGTCTAATTGTCTCGAACTTGAGGTGGTACAGTCTCGTATTGCCCAATATATTCAAATCTGGACTGCATATATCACCATATAGCAGGAGGAACACATCCATAATTTACAACCAATGTTCATTGATGAGCTTTGTCTATTCCCAGGAACAGGATGTTTTGTCATGACCAAGGGACCCTATATCACACATAGTCCAGAATGGTCTAGGACGTTATGTCTCATGGCAAGTCAGATCGTGGATAGATAGTTAGTGGCCGCTGGAATGACTATTGTTTGACGCTGCGGTACAGTGAAGTATTGATGACATTTACTGTAGGAAGATATGTAACTATCTGTCAGTTGACTTTTGAAATCTTACTTTGCTTTTTTCTTTTTCCTCCCTTTAGTCGTTTTTCCCTCCTCTGATCCCGTCTCGAGACTGATAAACCCATTACTTAAGTGCCGTCACTTTCCTGAAGCTAATTGGAAAGAAGTCGCATCTATTGCCATGATAGTATCCTTGTAGACAGGTCACTGACGATCTAGAGCCCTATAGGCGGATGTTTGACAATGCCTGGATGTTGAACACTAGAAAATAAAAAAAAATCCATAACAGAATTGTGTCTGAGAGTCTGAAATTAGATTCTTCTTTGACTCTTCCTATTTCTTTCTTGAATATTAGAATTATTCACCTTCTGTCAAATAATGACCCATGGACAGTTCCATCCACACTGCGGTGCCTACATCCATGATCCAACCCAGCCATTCAGTCCCATACTGATTCAGTAACAAGGGATCTAGAAGCCGTTCAAAGCATCTGCATCCAGAATTGGCACAAAGGGGGGGGAGGGGCGCAGTTTCTGTCTCTTTATCATTATTATTATTATTATTATTATTATAATTATAATTATTATCATTATTTTCAATTTCTTTTATTTATTTTTTTTTTTTTGGGAGGAGATCCACCGGCGTAATGTTTAGTCCAAGCCTTACACCAGAAAAGAATAGGAAATAGGACCTGGTAATATTAATGGCAAACCCATGTCTCCTCTAGTCCCAGCACAGTGGAACAAAGACAGCGCCCAGAGCATTTTCCATTTATTTTATTTCCCAGCAAGTTCAACACCGCCATTGACTCAGGGTCTCAGCCTACTGGAGTGCACCATGGCGAGGAGTTCCTGAGTATCCTACTGACTGAACTGCCTGACTGATCACAGATAGAGGTCTGTCACGACCTTGCCTTGCCTACTGGCTCTCTGGGTCTGCAATTAAGAATGCATGGCTAGAAGAACCATAATACTCTCCACTATTACCCAGCAATCAGACATTAAAATATTAAATAAGATCGACGGGGCTCTTGGGGTTCACCATCTCGTTCACTTCCCCATACCTTGATCCATCACTCAATCAATCAATGACAATCAGTCCGTTCTTCCAATTGATCCCTCCTTCCATTCTCTTTGCTGGATATCTTTCATAAAATATCCTTCATATCCTCCTCTATCCTTCTTCTTCTCTCTTCTTGGTCTCTTCTATCCCACCTACTTCTACTCTTGATCTCTCTTTTCCAGTGGTTCTCTTCTACCACTCCGTCTCCTTCTGGTACCCAGTACCCATCTCCAAACAGACAGTAAAGATCATTGTCGTATACAGCGTTCCATCTTCTCGTTGGGGTCTCCGTTGCTGTGGAGCAGCAATTCCGTCACTGGAACCTCAAATGCTCAATTTTCCTCGCGAGCATCCTCTACTTAATCATAAAGTTCTTGTCTTCCCATTCACTTTCTCGGGTGTCTCTCTCTCCGGCTCGCCAGATTGTTTCCCCCACTTGTCTAAGTCAGGCCTATCATCTCTACAATCGGACTGTCTCAGCCTTTGCAAAAGAGTCAGAAAGGAGAAATTTCCAGATCTTCTTTCAAGCATCTGCTCTTCTGGCGGAAGTCCTACAACCACTTCCACTGCGTCCTAGAGACGCATATTTCCACTATCGCGCGACCTTTCCCAAGATTTCTTCTGCTCTGCTACCACAATGGCCGCTGCAGCTGCAACTGCGAGATTCGTCCAACCTCCTTCTCCCCCTCAGTCAACCGATGGAGATCCCGCTTCTGAACAGTGTGGCATGCTCAACTCGCTATATTGCTCCCAGAACCCCTTTGCGACATCCAACTTGACCTGCAGCGCTGAAGCTGCCTACAGTGAGCTCAAGCCACCAGCGATGGTGAGTTTGAACCTTTCCCCAGCTTGTTGATCACATACTGACCGTTAATCAGACTTATGGCCCTTCGTCACCGCGATATGTTTCCCACCACGAGTACTCAAGAGCTCTACCACTTCAGCATTCGGTAGGTTTTCCGCTCCCATTCTCAATGACACGTTTAGCTAGCCAAGCATGTGCTAACGATGAAAGCAGATGCTACCCCCAGGTATTCAGGTCAATACGCCGCCTCCTGCCGCAGACGATGGAGTTGTTCCTAGCAAACTAGAAGCGACTCCTCCTCGCTGGCCATCTCCATCAGTTTTGAAGCTTTCCCCAGGGAAAGTAAGAGTGGTTAAACCCCCCAGAGTTAGGCGCAGAGCCAAGAAGGCGAGCAATCGAGAATCGAAACCGCGGCTACCTGGTCCTTTAAGTGAAGTTACCAAGCATATGACACATGTTCCCCTCAGAGACATGGATAGCTGGGTGCATCGGCCCATGGAGGTGCGTCACGAGGAGGTTGCCAAAAAGAATGGCAAAGTCGCGAGACCCATGAACTCGTTCATGCTCTACCGGTCTGCGTACGCTGAGCGGACCAAGGAGTGGTTTGCACAGAATAACCACCAGATCGTTTCAGAGGTCGCAGGCGACAGCTGGCGGATCGAAACGCCAGAGATTCGCGAGAAGTACGAGCTTCTAGCGAACGTCGAAAAGGCCAATCATCTCAAAGCACACCCAGGGTACAAGTTCTCTCCGTCGAAGGAGAAGAAGAAGCGAGCCGAGACGGAGGACGACCAGCTGACCCTAGATGGTGGAGAGATGACCTCTGAATCTAGCCCGGCGCTTCTCCAAGTTCGTGCCGCGGGTTCGTCCGAGATCGACAGCCTTGGTTGGGGCAGCCGCGACTCAACACCCTTCGACTTCCCCGAGCATGGGCTGCCCACGACGGCATATTACGGTTCTTCGTGGCAGACCAGTCATCCCAACAAAGACATGCTGTCACCTCCGAAGCCCTCTCCATACCTCCAGCAGTCAATGCATCAAAACCTCATGGGCCCTCATGGTGAAGATCCTCGATTCAAGCATGTTGGACTCCAGGACATCCAGTTCACCTCGTCGACGGCGCTGGCCGGGCTGCCTGGAGCCGCCCACCACGACCTTCTTCAGCCCCAGAACACCCCAGGAACTGGACCCGATGGCCAGCTGGATCCTCAGTTGCTGTCGCTAAGCGACCACTCTAGTCAGCATCCGATGTACAACCACTCACACTATGGAATCTGGCAAGAAGTCCCGACGAGCAACTGCTATGTCCCTGTTCCCTCTCCGCTGCCATCCACATACCATGTCGGCGCTACCTATCATCAAGGCATGCCGACTCTAGGGGATAGCCGCGATTCTTGGGATTCTGCCAATAATGAGACCAGCCTTGACGCTTCCAATGGCGAATTCGAACATTGGATCAACTCTCACCCATCTGGATATTCCTCATCGACAATGTAACATTAATCAAGGCAGTTTCCTTTTGTGTTCCTGTCTTTCTACGACGAGAAGATGAGCGTCATGTCATGCTTACTGATGTGTGTTTTGTGATTTTTTTTTTATTTTTTTCTGTCTTTTTGGGCTGGTCTTTTGTGATTTAGTTCACTCGGAAAGAGAAACCTCAGGGTCGGAGTTGTACAGGCGCGGGAGTCTAGTATGGTGTTACTGGGTGATATCCTGCTTTCTTCAGGTCTCCTGCTGCTTCTGTCTCTTTGGTGGCCTATGTGATGTTTTCCTTTGGTCTGTTGGAGTTGATCTTTTTTTGGGTGGTATTCTCCGTTGATATCTCATCGACATATCCCTGCTTCTTATGTGGTTGGTATCTTGAACTTTGACTCAATATTAGACTGAATGGCGCAAATCATTATTTTCTGGCCTTGACTCTCCTCCTTTGTAACATCTCCTTCGCACCTGGAGTACTGCACTGCTATACCGTGTCCAAGGAGGACTGTATTCGATAAGCAGTATCTTTTCCTGACCGTCGCCAGTCAAACCAGACAGCTGATTGCGATCTCGGACTACACCACATATGGGTTGAACCCATAGTGCTTGCAAAAGTCAATCGGCAAGAAGCATTCCCTCTGATTCAGATAATCGATGACCACCAATCCACTTGTCAATGCATTTTGTCATTAATTCTCCTTCATGATTGCTTTTTGTGACCTTTCCTGCTTTGTCGTCTTTCCTCGATTTGGTGCTGTAACGGATGTATGTCCATAGAACCTCTTCGTGACAAGCCAATCATCCTTGACATTCCTGCAGATCGCTGATTTATTGACCGAAGATCTTCAATAGATGCGCCAAGTGTAAGTTCTATGTAGATAACTGAGAGTGCTATCACTATGGCAATTGACATGTCATTAGAACAGCCACAAGACAGAAGACACATACTGAGTTGCAAGAATGAGATCTGGACACATAGTGACACTTACCCCTGAAAAAGGCTCAGTCTATACTTGTTCTCTGGACATAAATACCCTCGCCGAACTCAGCTGAAGTTCCCTGACCATTCTAAGCTATATAGACTCCAAAGCCTCAAGCCTCTCCGAGATCAGCATCCCAAACCAATTGCCGACAATGAAGCTCGCAATCCTCGTAGCCTTGTCTACTATTGCTTGCGCAACTTCTCAAAGCTATTTTGTTGGCGTAAGGGTCTTTCCATTCCAACAGCACCTGCATAATAGCTAACAAATTAGTACGATCCCTTGAAACCTGGCCCTGTCGACCCCAATCCCTTCAAGGGCCTCTCATATGGCGACCAATTCACAGTCGCTCGTCGCGCTCAAGTGGCCCCAACACTCTACAGACCCAAGAAGAACCCCAACGTTTTGGCCCTCGCTCCAAAGCCTCCTGGGATGGCCCTCGGTTCCGTCCGCAAGGCGACGACGGTGGATACCTTCGAGCCCACGAGGATCTCCTTTGCCTGCGTGACCGATCAGAGAGGAAAGGCGGTGCCCGTCAACTGTACTGTCGTGTTCGAGGGCACGCAGAACAACCATCTGGGTATTCCAAAGATCCAGACGGCGCAATACACTAGCACTCCGCGGTTGCAGAGAGTGGATTTTGATGGATTCACGAACCTCAGGGCGTTGGACTTTACCCTGACCGAGGCAGGGAAGGGTGGCATGTTGAGTCAGGACGTCACGTTGATCTTGGACAACTTTGGGTATTCCGTCAACACGAACTAGTGTCGTGGACTATCTGCAATTCTTCCAACCCTTGTGATCGATAGAACATTAATAAGACCCCTTGCAAATCGCCATATCAACTCGTGATTGAATACGAGACTCGAAAATGCGTCCTGTTCTCTTACTACTCGAATTTGAGGAATTCTTTTGATTCGTCATATACAGCCTGATACCAGTCGTGGCATCCGAAATTCATCTTTGAAGGCGATATCTTATGCAGAATAATGCACCAGTCCCAATGATAGAGTAGTTGTATATCTAGGTTGTTAAGATGAAACGACCGCCTTCGCGGAGGCTTGGCATGCTTGGAATTCTATCAACACCGGCAGAATAGACTTATCCGGGCGATCAATTGATACACGCGTCCAGTCGCGATCAAATTCACCAGATTACCTAGGAATTCTGACATCTCTTTCCATCCATCTATCAGCCATTTCCTTGTTCTCTCCGCAGCGATCATGTACGGCGAACTCGGAAATAAACTGGTACGCCGCGTCCTACTACCCTACTTCCATCCCGCACTAACAGCACTCACAGGTCCAACACGCCAAACGTACCCAATCCCTCGTCCACCTCCCCCCCTACCAGACCGAACTCGTGCGCACCGTCGCCCGCGAAGTCCGCGATCTCGACCGCGATGTCGCCCGCCTCCTCGAGCCCTTCGGCGGCAGCTTCAACCCATCCGCGGACCCTGCCACCGCCTGCGCCTTACTAGTTGACCACATCTGCACGCGCCGCAATAAGCGCTGTCTCCTTGCTTATCATCGCGTGCGCACGGAGAAACTGGAGGTGCTGTGCTGGAATGGCGTTGATGTGCTGGAGCAGCAGCAGCCGAATGCGGAGGAGGGGGCGGCGGCGCAGGGCGTGGTGAGTTCGCAGGCGGGGAATCATAGCTCGTTGAGTCCCGAGGAGGAGGAGTATTTTCGGCAGTATAGTGATATGCTGGCTGCGTATAAGGGGCAGTGGACGGATATTGATCTGACGGGAAGCTTGGAGCCGCCAAGGGATCTGTTTATCGATGTGAGGGTCTTGAAGGATGCGGGGGAGATCCAGACGGAGTATGGGTATGCTGTGCTTGCTCTTGTCCCTTTGGTTGGGAGATTTCTCGTGAAAGGGTTACATATATTGAGAGTAGCGGCTGATTGTGCTTTACAGGGTTATCAATTTGACGAAGAACAGTCAACTCTACGTTCGACAGGGCGATGTGGAACGGCTGATCGCGCAAGGGTTCCTGGAGCGACTGAGTTGATGGAAAGTCGAGGATGATAAAGGGCTAGCGGTTTTGACGACTTGATGATACCCATTGTATATACCCTGCATTGAACTATCTTTTTAGATTTGTCGTATAGTCCTGTAGAGGTTATCCCCCTATGCGTAGTACCGAGGCTATCAATATGATTCCGTGATCCCAATGATGATAACGACAGTAGAAACGATATAACCAATTAACCTCCAAAGCAGTGATCTTTATCATACGTAGTAGCTGATGGTAGCTACTTCGCAAGTACTGCAGTTGTGACAATGTCCGAAGAAGCTAAGACACTAAGCATTGCGTGCATATTCCGCCCTTGTGCATTGACGATCATATGACACTTGACAGTCCATCTCTATTCTCAGTCTCGGATTGTTTCTGCTCAACCTTCAACTCTCTGCCTCCCACTGTCCCACACACTTCAAGAGTCGATTACTCAATAATAATCAGTCCTTGTGGTAATCAATTCCAGGAATTCCCCATCGTTCCTGATCCACAATTGCCAGAATATGGTAAAGCGCACCCAGCGGAGACGATGATAACCGCCTGTGATAAGACTTTTTTAGTCAACTCACGGACCTGGACTGATAACGCCGGCAGCTTCTGGGCTTTAACATGAGCTAACTCATCCCTATGACCTATGGTCTCTTTCAAGAACCCTGTCTGTCGTCCTCAACCCCCTCTCATGCATCACATTTTTGCAGCCTTTCCCCCTCTCAGTGTTTTGGTAACCGAAGGACGCCAATTGCTCCTTTTGCATTGACTCTTGCGTCATCCTGGTCCCCGTCCATCTCCTCTGCGGCCGTTGGGGTGCGGCACGCACACCGACAGAGGAGCTTAGGCTGTCTCGCCCTCAATTCATCCGGTTATTCTTCACTTCCGTGAAAAGAATTTGTCTGTTGCGACGATCAACTGCGCGACAGACCAGTAACGGTTCGAGTTCGCGATGGGCATCATCGGACGTCGAGACCGCAGTGATTCTCGTGCATCCGGACTATTACCCCGTCGCCCATCTTTGATCAACAGTCCTACTCCAAATGTGACAGAAATACCGATTGAGCGGGCCAACCATGGCAGCCCTCCGGAGACTTCGGGACTCGAGCCTTCTATTTACGGCGGGTCGAGCTTCAGGACTCCGACTCGGTCATTCTACCATCGGTCCTTCAACGGTCCTCATGGTACGATAATAGGATTTTTTTGAGAGGTCATTGTCCTAACTGCTGTCTAGATCCGGCACACTACTCATCGGAGGGTCTGAGAGAACAAACAGCCGAATTAGCATCGTTTGCGCTGTCACTCCCTCAAGAACGGAGCGCTCTTCCGCGAAGCTTGAATATCTTTCAATCGAAACAACAGACGGGTGTCGCCACATCCCCGTCGAGCTACTCCGGCCCTGCAGGGGAGCTGACAATTGTTGAGCCAGAACCGATCCATGCTCCTGCTACCGGTTCCTCGGTATTGACCCAGATGATTCGTAGTCCTCCCTCTGAATTGTCCGGGGATGAAACCGACCACTACGGAGATGAGCCGAGCCCGAACGGCGCGGCTGGCATGGAAAACCCAAGGCGCTTGTTTACCGATGGCGACGAAGAGAACACAAGTACCGAACGGACATCGTTGCTGAATAAGACGGCACAATCTAAACCATTCCATGGATATGGGGTTGCAGACGATATTGAGAGTCAGGACTTACTGACGGAGCGCGAGCCGGGCGCACAACCTCACGCTCTATCGGCAATCAGAGGGTGTCTTCGCCTGCTAGCAAGCCCAAAGTCGTGGGACCGGCGAGCAGTATGGCAGCAGGGGGTGGTTTATCCCATCAGCCTGCTACCTTCTGTGTTCCTCGGGTTACTGCTGAACATTCTCGATGCGCTGTCCTACGGGATGATCCTGTTCCCACTGGGAGAGCCTATCTTCTCTGAGCTGGGGTCAGACGGAATCTCCATGTTTTATGTCAGCACAGTCATTGCTCAGCTGGTCTTTTCATGCGGAGGGTCAATCTTCAGTGGTGGTATCGGAAGTGAAATGATCGAGGTTGTTCCATTCTTTCACCAGATGGCCATGACGATTCTAGCTCGAGTTGGCGAGGATAATCCGAAATCGGTTCTCGCAACAACCATCCTCGCTTTCTCCGCCAGTTCGGTTCTTACAGGGCTTGTCTTTTTCCTGATGGGAACGTGCAAGCTTGGTTCTCTCATTGGTTTCTTCCCGCGACATATTCTGATTGGATGCATTGGTGGTGTAGGATTCTTTCTGATGCAAACTGGGGTCGAGGTATCTGCTCGACTATCCGGGTCTCTCGAGCTTAACATACCAACCTTGCAGAAGCTTTTTCATATGGACACATTGCTGCTTTGGATGATACCCTTGTTGCTTGCGATTGCTTTTCTTGTTTTGAAGCGCTTTGTGCGGTCCAATTTCCTAGTCGGTGGGTATTTCATTGCGGTGGCTGTACTTTTTTACATTGTCAAATTCAGCGCGAGAGTGTCTATGGATACATTGCGCAGCAGAGGATGGGTCTTCGACGCTCCATCGTCTTCGAACCCCTGGTATCACTTCTATACACTCTATGGTGGGTGCCTCTTCAGGCTATTCCAATTAAACATGAATTGACTTCTTCACAGATTTCTCGGCCGTCGACTGGTCCGCATTCATTGATACGATTCCAGCGATGTTTGCATTGACATTCTTCGGAGTTCTTCACGTTCCAATCAATGTACCGGCACTGGGTATATCAACCGGGGAGGACAATCTGAATGTTGACCGTGAGCTCATCGCTCATGGCATTACTAATGCACTGTCAGGTTTCGCAGGAAGCATACAGGTATGGTTGAGCAATCCGCAAGGGACATCGTTCGTTACATATGCTCATGCAGCTCTAGAACTACCTTGTATACACTAATAGTCTTCTTTTCATCGCCAGCGGTGGCAGTTCTCGGCTGGCAGGTATCATGCTTGCCATTGCTACAATGGGTATTCTTGTTGTTGGCCCTGTGATTATTGGATTTATTCCGGTCATGGTCGTCGGAGCTCTGATCTTCATGCTGGGCATTGAACTTATGGAAGAAGCTTTGATCGACACGTGGGGGAAATTGCACCGACTCGAGTACTTAACGGTAAGTCAAGTCCTTATCATGTCATTGAGCTGCATCCTGATACGTACAGGTCGTCATTATCGTCGTCACCATGGGTGCTTGGGACTTTGTGGTTGGCATCTTTGTCGGAATCATCTTGGCGTGCGTTAGTTTCGTGGTGCAAACCTCACGCAAATCCGCCATTAGGGCTACCTTTTCTGGCAAGATTACAGGCTCCACTGTCAGGAGACCTCCCATCCAGCAGCGATTCTTAAAGGAGGCAGGACAGCAGACACTTATCATCAAGCTTGCTGGCTATCTCTTCTTTGGGACTATAGTCAGCGTTGAAAGTACCATGCGGGGACTCATTGAGGAGGAAGCTTTTAACAGACGACCTATCCGGTTCCTCATCCTGGATTTCTCGCGAGTGTACGGTCTGGACTTTTCCGCGGCAGAGGCGTTCACGCGTATAAACCGGATTCTCCGGAGACGCAATGTGCAGATGACTATATCCGGGCTTGATATGAAGGGTGAGGTGGGGAGGAGCCTCCAGAACGTTGGGCTTCTTGGGAGCGAGAGCGGGGTTGAAATTTTCAAGGACCTCAATTCGGCCCTTGAATTCTGCGAGAACGATTACCTCAAGGTATTTTACAGTCATCACGAGGCATTACAAC